ATGGAGGCAGTATGACCTCTGAAACGTTGGTAAACATCGACCAGACTACACAGCGCAACAACCCAGAAGACAGAAATCTTCATACTCATCGCCCTGATGACGGAGGCAGTATGACCTCTGAAACGTTGGTTAACATCGACCAGACTACACAGCGCAACAACCCAGAAGACAGAAATTTTCATACTCATCGCCCTGATGACGGAGGCAGTATGACCTCTGAAACGTTGGTAAACATCGACCAGACTACACAGCGCAATAACCCAGAAGACGGATATCTTCATACTCACCGCTGTGAGAACCTCAAGTCTTACAAATATACCATTATTTAAAATTTTTCTACTATGTGTCATCTTGGAAAAACAGAGTGTGATGGGCAGACAGATGGATAACTGGCTATTACTCACAGGTACACACATGAGCACATGTGCACACACACACACAGAGAAAATTTTAAAAACTGCAAATCAGACACTTTGTACTTAGCAAAGAATGGGTCCTACCTAGCATCATATTACTTAACCTGGAGGGGAGGCATGCCTTAACTGTGCATAAAAATGTAGAGATGACGCTTCAATGATTTATATTTTCCATGTTAAGTGGCACTGAATCCAAGTGAAAGGCCAATTGTTCTTTGATCTGATTTATGCTAATAAAACACTTCTTCAAGCATATTTAAGAAATTTATACAATATATTACATATATAGGAATTAATAAACCTTAAAAGATAATTAGTTTAAAATGAGACAACAAAAATCATTATAAAACAGGAGAAAGCCAAGTACTTATAAGAATAATATTCCAAAGGAACATTAATATGAAAATATAAATGGTACGTTATCATCTGTTGCAAACTTGATAAGTAAAATATTGCATATGGTATTTGTTTATGATAAATCACATTTTGCTTCGAAACTTCTCTGATGGTATAAATGGGCATTATTAACATCTGCAACTCTTTGCAGTTTCTAATAGAATGACACATCGCATGATAACACATTTTACATATAAGTACTGGATTACGAATGGTGAAGACCGTATACTTCGACCTCCATGCATTACTTCTATATATAGTTATAAACAAGAACATACATACATTTTTTTATTTCATTTCATTCATGTCTTCCATTAGATTATTATAAAAACTACTGTATTATTATTATTATAATATTATTATTATACAACTTCACTGCATCTGCCAGCAACCTTGTGGCAATTATTTCACATAGCTTTCTTCAGAGTGTTGGTGAGTGATGTGTGTTTAGTGTATGCATGCCGTAACTGAACGTGTACTTACGATATATTCCTTACTACTTCCCAAGGCTACCGTCGTTCCTCACTTTACACAGTTTCTGACCTCTGTCCATAATCTCTTTTTAACTCTGCATGCAAGAGACTTAGAATTTCCTAAACTGTAATGTAATAATTTTATTTCTTTCCGTCTGATAGAAGATTAAAGCCTTGAATCAATTTTTATTTGTAATTACTTAGTGTTGCTGTCACTAGCTCAGGCTTTATAGCATCAAATGGTAGGATAATTCATTCACAATGAATTATAAAGCATATGGAAGGAAGCAGTCATGGTCTAGGTCACAGGTTCCCAAAGTGTGCGTGTGTGTGTGGGGGGGGGGGGCGGCTGTTGTTTGTATGAAAAACTTTCTTTAACAAAATATGGAGAAATATTTTTAACACCTTGCTTGGTTGAGCCAGTTTTGCTTGCACTTGTTCTGGAAGGGGGGGCGTGAAATTTATGAAATGTTTTAAGGGGGGCGCAAGGTATAAAAGTTTGGGAACCTCTGGTCTAGGTACTATACTGGTATTTCCTTGGAGGGACTGCGGAAAACTATGATAAATCTCAGTCTGTACGGTCAGTCTCCAACCCAACATATGAACCTGGGACCTCTAAAATAGGAAATAGGATTGTTGACCACTTTGCTGTGATGTTCTATTTCATATTCTGAAATAAGGCATGACGTGTAACAAAATAAAAGTATCGGTAACAGTTCGGTGGCTAGCAAGACCTGACCTTGTACTTACATGACTGTTGTGCCAATCTGATGTTGATATCAGATATTCTTTACGACTGAGATAATTCTTTGATACCGTATGGGTGAAAAGTAGTTCACATTTTTTATGTTAAAAAATTATTAATTTAATTTATCGAATATTCATATGAACTGAAATTTAGCTTCTATACATTTTGAGTTAAATAATTCAATAACTGCGTTGAAATGTTACGTAGCCGCTATAAAAAAAAAAAAAAAAAAGGAATAATTACACTATTAGCGAGTGAAATTAGGCTCAAATATCTATAAATAATTATGGCAACAGTTAATGAAATGTAATAGAACATGTTTCTATAGGCCTGCTTTCTGAAATGTTCTTTCTCTCATTACAAGCACGAAGCAGCATGCACACTTCTGTTTCTGCAGTGACTTATGACTAATCCACTTTCATTTTCTTGGGGTACCACTGCACCTTGATTTACTGCAATATTTAATGTAAATGTAGTTTTTCTACGTAAATATGTTCATCATCATCTTGAAAGCAGTTCTTAATTCAATAGACCATTGCACTTGTAGAAGCAAATAGCAAGTGTTCTTATACAGACAATGCAGTATTATATTGAACAGAAGTGTACTGGAATTCATCATCATCCGTTTAAGTTGCTGTCGAGTTCTTTTCAGTCATGGACGAGGCCAAAATTTCTGCACGACTCTACGTAGGTCATGAAAATAAATATCATTTAAATTTAACGTTAACATCTACGACAAATTTTCTTTTATTATTGTAATTATTTCTTCCAGTACGCTCCTAGAATAAATTCATAACTGTTTTGATTCCCACAGTTAGTTTTGGTTTACATGGTAATAGACGGTGATCACGTTGGTTTTCATAGAGTAAAGTGTTACCCACAGAGGGAACTTTATCGAGAAACTGGCAAGTTTTGTACGAAAGTAAGAGAATTTTCCTTAACAAATTCTCTTTCTTGAAGCAAAATGCCATAAAATGTATGTTCCTAATGTGGTTGGCCTACTCTGTGTCACTAAACACTTTAAAGGAATAATAAGTATTGTTATTAATCTAATCTTTTTTTTCTTTTTTAATATAAACAGAAAACAATGGTGGTGGCAGCAAGTACTAATTTGTTTTGCTTTTAGTATTCTGTATATATGCACTGGACTTAAGTGTTATATAAATATCTTAGTAAAATTGTGTGTTTCTGTAGCTTTGCAAATGGTTCATAGCACAGTATTATAATTTTGGTAATTGTATAAAGTATTTCAATTTGCTTTGGTTGTTTTGTACGTAGCTGCAAAGTGCTTTTACTAATATTAATTTGTTTATTTCTTATTTCTGCACTAACCACTTAGTTACTAGTTCTAGTCTATTAACCAGGCCTACACAATGCAAACCATCCTTTAAATGTGATGTGCACCTGTAATTTGTGTCATGTGATCCCAACATCTGACCACTGGCTGAAAACTCGTCATGTAAGTATGCGCAAACTCCTTGTTCTAACTTCACTATATTTTGTTTTATATAGCAATTTTGTTTTTGTTGCCTGTTACCCTCAAAGTTCTAATTTCCAGATCCTTCATATTGAAAATAGCCAACTGAACTCGTTTGTTCTCATTCACAATAATGGTTAAAAAAAACACAGAAATATTCTAAAAATTTCATTCACGTACTAACATTTATTTTGTATATTGTATCACAGTTCATTACTATTTATATATTAAATAATGCCCAAACAAAAATAGAGGGATGGCCGATTTAGATTAAATTAGTTGTGTCATATGAATACTCAACTTTTGAAGCAGGATTTAATTGAAATAAATGTTGTTTTCATCTAAATCTTAGGGTCGAAAAGGTCTGTCTGGCGAAGCAGTAGAGCGAGGTTTGCCGGGGCTTCCGGGCCCCAAAGGGGAGATCGGGGACCCGGGGCCTAAGGGTGAAAAGGGAGAGAAGGGTGACTTGGGAGTTTCAGGTACGATTTTCAGATTATTTAAACAATCAGCAACAGTGAATCACATCGGCAGAAATAATTATTAAAATAATCTTTTCACAGTTTAAAATTCAACTTCAACATGAAAAATCATGATAATTCACTTCCATAGTTCCTACTCTTTAAGAATAAGTTAACCGTAAATCTAAAAATAAATGCATTTTCTTGCATTTGTTAAAATGAGATGTAAATCATGAATTCGAGAGCAGAAGACACGTGGAATTTAAATATTACCTGAATATGTGTCGTACTTCTTAACTGAACATCATCACAGGCTACAGTAATTGCACAAGAAAGTGAAATCAGCAACTGTGTATTTGCAGGAACAAAGGGTGATCCTGGACCACGAGGACCACCTGGAGAAGATGGTCAAAATGGGCAAGGAGGCCCACAGGGCCCCCCTGGAATGCCAGTGAGTAGTGTGTCACATTGTGGAAACACATTAAAGAGAAGAACATTTGCAAATTGTACTGTTGAAATGAGATCTAGAACTATAAATATTTTAAAGGATTCTGGCTGATAGTTTGTATATCCTGATTTATGTGCTAAAAGGGGTTATTATTCTACCAGGGCCAAGCTGGACCTAAAGGAGAGAAAGGGGACTATGGAGACATTGGGCCTCCAGGACTGATGGGTCCTCCTGGGTTACCTGGTCCTCCTGTAAGTCACAACAAAGTTAATATTATCATCTTATGTGTTCCATTTTAGCTGAATTGCAGCTTATCCTGTCGGCTGTTACAGGCATTTGTGTGTCACTCTGTTAATTACATGATTAGTACAGTGCTAGATGTAATTATTGCTACTAACAGTCCACATCTCCAAAGACCAACTAAGGTAAATTCTGTGCTAAGTGCATGATCCGGATGAGCACGTATCACACTAGCGTACCGCGAAACTATTCACCCAAGATTTGAAGTCCAACAGGCAATATGCACTTGCAGTGTTTGGGACTTAATTGGAGATCTAAGCAATTTATGAATTTCTTTAACAAATAAAATAATTCAATATGTTATTAAGACAAATGGCATCAATACTGATACAGGATTCCTTATTAAATGACATCACTAACACAGTTACTTACAAGATTTCAGAGTACTTGTAACTGTCTCAAAATTATCATAAATTTTGTGTACAGGTCTACTATCGCCACGGTGGTCTAGCGGTCAGAACACTAGCCTTGTAAGCCTGGGGTCCCGGGTTCAATTCCCGGTGGTGCTCAAATTTATAACTTGTGTTGGGCAAGGCCGTGGTCTAGGCATCACGGAGTTTTCCTCCGGGGGCTTCCCCGGTTTCTCCGTGGCATCCCAACAATTACTCCACTCACACACAGAAGAAGGCAATGGCAAACCACTTATGGATCATCTGCCAAGAACGTAAAAAAACAACAACAACAACAACAACAACAACAACAACAACAACAACAACAACAACAACAACAACAACAACAACAACAACAACAACAACAACAACAACAACAACAACAACAACAACAACAACAACAACAACAACAACAACAACAACAACAACAACAACAACAACAACAACAACAACAACAACAACAACAACAACAACAACAACAACAACAACAACAACAACAACAACAACAACAACAACAACAACAACAACAACAACAACAACAACAACAACAGGTCTACTGCAGCTGCTGTCCTCAAAATAAGCTATTTTGACTTTTATCTGATGAAATACACAGCAGTCAAAATAGCTGATGCATCACTAATGTGCAAACAGTTGTTTTGATGCTGTATAATTCAGGAAATATGGTGTCGGATGAACTGGCAGACATGGAAAATTATCTATAAGAAAGAGACAAACACTGAAACACTTTTATATCTGAAAACTTATTATTTTCAAGAGAGCATGTTCTTATGTGGTACCATGAACAGAAATTATGTTCCAGAAGCAAAGTTCTAAAACATTTACCATTGCCAAATAAAGTTGTACATATTAATATGGTGAGTAGAAATTACTGCCAACATTATTCTTGGCACTGTAAGCTTTTCACTTTTGCAGGGAATATCTCTGTTGGCTGATTTGAATTCCTGCGCTAATTATTTGTATTTTATATAAGTGTTTTACTTGAAAAGAATGTATTTTTTATCTTTAAAGTAAAATAATCCTGATCTATCCTTAATGGGGATTAACAGCTGATTTGTGTATCCAGGAATTGATTAATATTACCTATTTACTTTAGAGCTATATATAAATGCGACATGCAGGAGTACTTGGAATGTACGGGAAGGAGTAGTTACCTGGCGTACAACTCTCCAGAGTAACCTCTTGAGTCATGTTAGTATGGACTTTAAAATATTTTTGTTTGTACTTCTGTTGTGAAGAAATCTGTTCTTGTTCTAGGGTTATCCTGGGCAGAAAGGTGAGAAGGGGGAAAAGGGAGAATCGGTAAGCTAAAGAATGAATTAACATTCTTATTGTCTGTAATATTGAACGTCCTTAGCTGACATATGTTTCACTTAGATGTTACAACACAAATCAGTCTTCAGTTAATTTCATAGTAATTAATATATAATAAATGTATTTCTGATTTTGTGTTAAATACTTTAATTTCCCCTAATCTTTGATTTCTAGATATTTAACTGGTAGTTGTTGAGTACGCTGTAAGGTTTGATCTGTGTGTTACTGTGCTTACTTTAATCTTGACTCAGTATACAATATACAGTAACTGTAAAATAAAAGGATCAAATACTTTACTGTTATTGATGAAAACTGATAATACAGTTCTCCATTGATATATCGTAAACATTTAAAAGTATTTTAGAGACAATGATTACGTTATAAACAAGTTTTGTTAACAAATTTCTTAAGAATTTCCAGAACAATAATGTGTGCGTGTAATTTTACGTTCTGAAAGTTTCCTTTAATCGTTGTTCTCATAATATATAAGAAAGATGTTGTAGATCAAATGAAATACAGAAAGAGTTCTGCTTTCCGAGACTAAATACGGAATTGTTTGACAACAGTTTGCTTTAAACAATTTTTCTTTTTCTTTTCCCGGCACACGCTATGGTCCTCAGAAATACAAAAAACTCAGGAGGCGACAGGTAAATATAATTCATATACTGTAGCGCATAACATAGTGTAATATTTAATGTTTATGCTAGTTTTTATTGTAAACTTCTTCTGTATCTCAAATCCTCACTGTCTTTCTTCCCTCCCATTATTTGTTTCATATTTTTATCTCCATGCCTGGCTTCTGCATTTATTTTCCACCCCTTGCACACCACAGTATAAACATCTAAGGATGTGACACAAACTTATATAATTAAAAACTAATACAGTACTTTTTAATATATAGTTTAATCTTTTGAGATGCGATACTAAAAGTAAAAACATATTTAATTTGCAAAAAGTGGGCCCAGTGGTGTAGCGAGATATGCCTCATGTAGGCAACATTACAGATCTAAATATATTTTGGCTTTATCGTGTTTTATGAATTTTGATTTCTACTCTCTATTCTTTTACGTCCCACGGATGGATGGTGTGGTTATGACTTTTTATTCCGGGACTTTCACTTTTTACTTTGACCGGAGATAGGGATTAGCTCTATCTAGTGGGCCCAACTGTGTAGGAACCTGAAGACGGAGATAGAGTCCCATCTCCGAAACGTCGTTTTTACGTTTTATATTTACTAGACGATGGATAATATCCAAGAAAATTTTTATTCAATTGACTCTTTACCATCATCAAGAAGTTTTAGATTTGATATATTTTCTGTAGTTTGATACCACGTGCTACATAAAAATAAATGTCGAGAATTTGGAACAAAACCAAAAATAACAATCATAACAAATGCCAGAAGTTGGATCGTCACATTGTTTTTTTTCAGAATGAATGCTTTTAATTGAAGTGTAATGAATACAGGAATAAAATTCTACAATAAAATACCAATTCAAGTTAAGCCAAAAAGATTCTGCATTTCAAGGAGCTCAAATCCTTCCTATTGTGTCGTATGTTCTACTCTGTAGATGAATATGCATGATATTACTTACTAGAATATCTTGTTAAACTGTGTCTGTAACAGATATAATTAACCCTAAAACCAACTAACTAACTGGATGGCTTACTGAAACAACCGTGATTATTAAACATGATGCTTGTATACCTGATATATGATTTATCCTTCTGAATTCTGATAACATAACTGTTAACAGTTTTAGTTATAAATGAAAATAATATCACAAACATCAAAAACTGAATTTTTCATTCTTAGCAATCTTTCCATGCATCACTCTTCTCTGGGTTGATATTTTAAAATAATTTTCAATTTTGTATCAGAGTTCACTTTTTCAGATTTCTTCTGTAGCATCTTACAGGCGTAAAATCCACAATTTTCTGAGTAAAAACTGAGGCAGTGTGAGGCTGGCTCGGTTCTCATGGATGCCAGCTGATCTGGACTGAATTAAGACGAGCAAAAGGGCAAGAAGTATCCAGAATATTTTAAAAATGTTTAGTTTGTGAGCAAGAAATATGCAACACATTTTTAACTCATGTGACACTCTAAACATTATAATGTTAACATTCTTATTACATAATACTATAAAAGACAATTGAAAGATTTATTATAAGTATTGATGATGGAGCAGACAAATACCAAGACCACGTCATCAATCGTCAAGCTCCATATGAAGCCATGTTCAATCATTCAGGCTCAAAGATATTTAAAAAACTGCAATATTAATAAATAGTCCTCCAGGACACAATACTCTAGTACATAACTCACCACTTAACAAGGAAACTGTCATGAGACATTGCCTTTCGGAATAGAGGGTGACTGCATTCCAGGGACTTAATGTGGAATTTTATGACATGAATGTACACAAAGAAAGATGGAAGATGATTGTCTTTGTGGGATATTGCGTCATGTTGTCTCTTAGAAGCTGACTCGCATTTCAGAGGTGCGTACTCCCTCGATCATTAGGGTGACAAGTAAGTAGGAGGTAGTGCTCACTTCTGAAATGCCATTAAACTTTTGTGAGACTACGAGGTGCAATATCCCAGGCCATAATCCCCATACTCACTGTTGTGAGAACCTGAAATTTCACAAAGCAGAATGGAAATTTGCAGCATGAATACTGTAAAATCTTCGTTTATAACAAACACCAGATTAATGACATTTTCATTGTAACAAAAATATTGTTCATCCCCTACCAAAGCACCATGTCGTCATGGAAGAATACACAACCTAGCACCGTCAATACAGACAGCGTTTCAGATGTAGAAAATACTGCTGTTTCCTTCAGACTTTGTTGAATGTGCACTCAATGTCACAAGCATGTCTAAAGTATTGTAGTCTAGACACAAGTTTAGTGAACTATGAGACAGAAATAGTTTGATGACAACTCTTGTAGTGTTATGATTATGACAACACGGTGCTGAAGCAACGAGCAATGGATCTCATGTATAGAAACAGCATCCATCCACTTCAGTGTAGACAGTTCATACCAGAATGACGGCAATATCGCTTCTGGAGAAATGTGAATCTGCCAGCCAGTCTGGAGCCGTGTAAACCAGAGATTAACATCAGCAGAACATTTTATGGATACCAGACGTAGCAATTTTAAAAAGACAAAACTAATTCTTAACATACAAAACTATCATCACCATACGAGCCATACAAAAACAAGACAAAAATCACAATGCATGGTTCTACACTAATTAGCATCTGGTTCCTTTTATTTAATCAACATAAATTACAGATAACATCAGAATATGACAGCCTCTAAACCAAGCACAAACTACTCAGTCTCTATAAAGATAGTCACAGTGTCTTTAGAAAAAACAATAAAATATTGAATATAACTTCTTTAATGAATAATTTAACGTTCTCTATGCATCCTGTGTGCCGAAACGTTACCAACACATCCCTGATAACATGCAGAAAAATGTGAAAGAAATGTCGATAGTAAGAGTGCATGCATGGATTGTTTAGAGAAAATAGATTATAGAACTTGTTAATGCTACTTTAATTTGAAAGTCTGTAACCGTCCACTGCTCGTGGCCTCGTAACAGCTGCCTTATCAGGGTGTGGGATTGTTAGGGGCTAGCTAGTCGGGATGTAGCTCTTGTCTCAGGTCGTGTTAACGGCCTGATCACACCAGCCAATAATGATTCGGATAGAAGTTGGAAGGCACTACTATTTATTTGTATACAATATACAGTTTCCAGTATGTCCTAGAACCTTCGCTATCGCGACTTAAAACAAGAGTGAGTCTCTACCCTAATTTTCTTCGGCTTGGTGCGAAGCACCCCCCGCTGTCAGAGAGAGACCTCTCACGGACCGCCCAACACGATCCTCCACACTTGCTCCTAAAGGCACTTCTTTGTCTGTTGTAGACGGAGTCGAAATCGGATGTTAACCAGATGGCTTAAACACGACTTCTAGCTCTTAGGGCAAAGTCAACCCTTGTTCTCTGCAGGTGGTGCTAAAATCTTACAGAAAGGTTTTGAAATACTGGAAACACACAGAAAAAAAACTAACAAAACCAAATTACTTCCAGATGAGCGGTTACAAGTCATTAAGTTCATGACTCTGGACAAAAACTAAAGATTGCTTAAATTAAGAGTTCGTAATGAGCTGTTGCTGTGTACAATAATCCAATTGAAGATCATGCAGTATTGCTGAAAGGGTTAACTGTAGTAACCTTCTTCAGCTGGTATTTGGAGATAGAAGGTCCAGTGGATAATAAGCATGCTGCAGCCTCCGTTCAGTCAAATTCTTATGTAGCCTTGTTACATTTCACAGCAGATTTGCATCTCCTCTGCTGAGACCAAGTACATGTACATCAATATATCAGTATTTATTTTTTTCAGGGAGATGGAACCTTTGAAGGAAGTGGAAGTGAATTTGTAAGTCAAATCTTTCACATTTAAAGTGACTATACGTCTACCGGACATTAAATTTCAGTAATCATTAAGAACTTGTAAGTTGTCTATAGTTATGCAGGCATATTGGCTGTTTACACACAAAGTGACTCCTCTGTTGAAAATGGACTGAATAAGTGAGCTTTGTGATAAGGCCGCCATTCACGATCGCTCCATTCGTCCAAATGGCGTGGTGTCGCTCCAAAATTGTACCGTGAATGCGGAAACTGAAGTCCATTGGCGTGGCGTGGTGGGCTCGTTTGGATATTCTGTCGAGCCATAATCCATCCGATCGCTCCATCACTCCATCGCGCCATCGTATAGTGAATGGGGGAATCGGCGATCGAGCCACTCCAAATCGGTTCGTGAGTGGCGGAAACGTGGTCCATTCTCATGCCAGTCTGCCACGAGCCTTCGTCCAGTGAAGTCCAAACTTGTATAATGTCGGGTCGTGAGTTTGTTATTGAGGTGATTGAGAAATATAGAGAGTTGCCATGTTTGTGGCAGATAAGTAATGAAGACTATCATGATAAAGCTAAAAGAAGCTTAGCAATGGAAGAATTGGTGGTTTTATTTAAAACCAAAGATCCTACCGCCAACAAAGAAAATTCCCTTAGAAGTTGCTTCAGAAAGGAGCATAAGGACTTAAATTGCTTCTATTTAAGAGCCATTGCTTTGACCACTTTCGTTTTGGTTTTTTCCTTTTAATATACAGGCATACTGCCGTAGCTAGTACCAATTCTTCGTCCATCGCAAACACCACGCACTTCACAGAGGGACAACAAACCGCGACTGGCGTGACGCGACCGTGAATGTAGTACCTCTTTGGACGACATCCGTTTGGAAGTCATCCATTCGGATGTCATCCATCTGGAGCGATCGTGAATGGCGGCCTTTACACAGTTCCATGGATAAAAACTTTATTAAGACATGCCAGCCAGATAACACAATAATTACTGAACTCACTAATTAGCTTGTCCGGTCACAAGCTATTTATTGTTAAGATGAGCTGAACTGAACTGTTGTAGGTAGTTGGTCCACCTGGGCCACCTGGGGTACCAGGCACGGCTGGTCTGCAAGGACCCCCTGGAATTAAAGGTGACAGAGGCATGGATGGAACCAAAGGCGAACCTGTAAGCAAAAACCTGATAGCTGAAACTGCAGCAATTTATATTGCATTTTCAATCTTAATTCACCATTACATTAATGAAGCCATTCCAGTTTTCTAGTAAGTGGCAAAACTTTCATTTCAGGGAGAAAAGGGAGCAAAAGGTGACCCAGGGCCAATGGGATTACCCGTAAGTCTCAATTAAATCTCTAATGACACTGTGTAACTTAAAATATTCTTCTTCCTTTCTTTAAGGTTCAAAACTTGTCCATTCCACTATCTTTCCATGTGTTATTCATAGTGGATCTTGGAGCAAGTAAAATTACACCTCCAGTAGGTTTCTAGCCTGGCTATTGGTGGGTTTTATGCTGGAGTTTTCCTTCTCCTAGATGGGTTGTCTTCATAAGTAAGAGTCCCATCTACTCCACCACATAACCCTGGGTAAGGGACCCTAACCAGTGGGACTTGGAGCTCACTAAGTGCAGGGGCGAATACTCCCCAGAGAGGGCTGTCTCTAAAGGTGGCGACTGACTTGTAACATTTGCCTGTAATGTAATGTGTTACAAATCGAGCATTACACAAGTGAAGACAGCGAACGGAGCCGCTCGATGTGAGACGCTCGCGGGCGCTCCATCGTGTTGTCGGTTTTTTCGCGAATCCCTTTGAGTGTTACATTACAAGTCAGTCAGTCAGTCGAGCGGTGTCGTAATGAGCATTCACGAGTCCTTTAAATAACAACACAACCTCCATGTCCGACATATTGAATGAAATGAATGGAGCACACACGAGCACAGTCGAGCCGAGCGTTCAAAACGAGCATTCGATGCGCCTCACCAGTTGTGGTGTAATGTAACATGCTGGCCGTGAATGTTACATTACGAGTAAATGTTACAAGTCAGTCGCCACCTTAAGAGAGCCATGCTCTGTTACCCCAACTTAAAAATTAAATAACATAATGTATCCAATTACTGCCATGCACAGACGTGCAAAAACATTTTTAAAAAAACTTGTAACATTTTTGACATTTTAACTAATTTAAAACATTGTAACATATAATTTTATCATTATTTCTTGACATCAGAGGAGGAAAAATGATCCCCAGTATAATAACATAAAAGCACATTATGAATTGTAAATGAAATTGTTAGGTTTTGGTTAATAGACATCGTCCATCCACTGCCATGAATCTTGTTAGTGACGAGTATGAGTTGCTGTTATCCTTTTCATAAATCGATAACTTCATACAACACAGACTCTGTAGGAGGTTGCAATCCAATCTACTCAGCTGAGTATATGAAAATTTCCTTCTCCATCTCCTCTTTATCTGGGACTTTAATTCCATGATGGTCTCTTCTAGAGAAATCTGTGTCACAGATTGAGGATTCCAGTTTGAGAAACGCTATTCTGCGATTCATTTTAACATATAATTTTTTATAGTGATACATTAAACCTTTCTTGGTACTTTTTCAGGGCCCAATGGGTCTCCGAGGTGAACCAGGTCGACCTGGGGAGATGGGAAAATCTGGGGCCATGGTAAGACCTACACATTCTTAAAAAAGTATAACCTACTCAGTCCATCAAGCCATCAAACTAACCAGTGTTCAGCAACTAACAACATGCCGCTGGGATGGCTTCATCAGTAGACTAATTAACAACTTACTGTCTGTTTGCAATGATATTCAGTATCTTATTGGTCAGTATTTTAAGGCAGTTTACTGTAATTATGGTACTTAAAATAAATTAGTGTATGAATGGAGAGATAAGGACAGAAGTTATATGTGTGTGACTGAGAAGGCACTGACTGTGGAAATTTGTGCAATATGTGTAAACTATGTGAATAAGTTACACAAATTCCATGTGTAACCTTATCCTGGACAATAACAATTAACTAACGATGGAATTGCACCACAAAGTATCAAATTGCTAGTCGCAGGAAGAATAGCATTACAACATGTTTTAATTTATGTATTTTGTATATTTGTCTTAGTCAGATTGTAAACCAAAGTGATGAGTATTGATGCAAACAGGCATTGAGGTAGTCTGATATTTTACTAACAGTTCAGGAAGAATTGATATGATGGATACAATAATGATTCAATTCAGTTCCTTTGTAAAAAAAAAAAAAAGTTCAAGTTTGTTAGTTCTGTAGAAATGAAGTAGCTATTTTCATATTGATTCTTTCTGCATTTTACCACCATATTGTGATTATTTTCCATAAGATCATGTGAATGATTCATGACTGTCAAACCAAAATTTTTGTTTTTCTTGAGCTCATGTTTTTATATTGATATAAGTCACTGACTTTATACATGCTATGCAGACGGCATATTCCTTTACTTTTTTATTTCATCTAAAAATGTCCTTACTCCCTCCCTAATATATTTCTATAATTAGCAGTTTTTTTATTTTGTTCTCCCCACGTCAGTCTATACAACTTTTAAGGGATTTTGCATCAAAAATTTTGTACATATTTCTTGTTATCATATACTCAATTACATCGCACATGATTTAATTTCTTTAACCCTTTGAAGCCGAAGATCGTCTGAATATTATTTATGAATTCAGTCTGTACCGCGAAGAAAACACTACACCTCACCATTACGAAAATCAGCTGGTTAACCCTTTGAAGCCGAAGCTTGTCTTCATAATATTTACGAATCCAGACCGTACCGCGAAGAAAACACTTCACTTAACCATTAGAAGTCGAATCAGGCGGTACCACATAAGATTTAACAAAAGAACATCCCGGTCGAAGCCTTAAAAGTATTTTTTTAAAAAGCAAAAGGAGCAGGGATTCTGGTTCTGAAATATCATATGGGACTAAGGGATTTAAACTGCTGTACTTCAGGGTTGCTAACTAAGGGTTAATGGTTTAGCAGTGCAACATATGACAAGCGGGACTGCACATAAACCGTGGTGCAAGGACAATGAAGGTTAATTTAATGGTATCCCCTGTCAATATATTCAGACTGTGGCCTTAAAATATTGCTACTTGTAAGAGAGATGTAGGCTCTTTTCATATTCTCACTACAAAGAAAATAACTTCTCAGGCAACTGAATAGAATTCTATGAAAACTGTGACTGGGAATGTCGTACTTGAACAAAAATCTGATGCATTACGATGGTGTCTCTTTCACAGAATGTGAATTCTGTCTGCCATTTTCTAATGCAAATGCAGGTGTAGTGAGTAAAGAATCTATATTAATATTCTATTCCAGAAAAAAATCTCTTACCTAATTTTTACCTGTACTTTGTAGACTTTTAACATTTCATACAATTAGAGTCACATCAAGTCATAAGAATGGTTCATCCATAAGTTTAGATAGGGCTTCTCAAAATTCTTATTTTACATCCTATTAAATGGGTAAAATTATATTATTCACAGTCTTATCTGTAGTAAAATCAGCATCTACTTGTATACATTATTTTATGTTCATTATAAAGCATGCATTGTTCATTTTGAAAAAAATTATTGAAGTATTATTATTTAATGGGAAATTGTAATTCTTCTTTGTCTAATTATTTCTCATTCTCATGCCCCCTTCTAGAGGGCATAAACATATTACTCAGGCTTGATGTATCAAACAAACATTACAGCTATTTATGTCCTGTAGCCGTACGAAATAAGAATCTATAACAAAGTTCAAACAAATTTGTTTTCTACTACGACTGTGTTAAACCAGTGAAATCTGTTTTATCCATTTAAAATATTTCTGATAGTATACTGAAACAGAAATTCAGTTCATTTTTGGAAACTCTTCTGAACATACGTGCTCACTGGCCCTTTGTTTCGTTATAAAAGACCATCTCTATAAAAGTATGATACATTTTAAACTTTTGTAGGTGGTAGAAGTGGATCTTACATTATTTTGATGAAATATTATTATGCCACTGTGTCCAAAGCGACTTTAACGAAAATCAGATTACCTAACTCTAAAATGATTGATAAAATTATAATAATGTATGATACAAATGATGATATACTATTTTTTGGGCATGCATGAATTTCCAAAATATTCTGTTATCAATAAGGTATAAACAAACTAATTTTTTATGCCAAATTAAACTAAATCTATTCACTACCAAGATGAATATATAACACATAAACCAAAGGAAAGATTTTGTGAAGAGTTGTTATGGGTCTTTCAATAAGCATTTTTGCCCCCTCCACATCAAAAATCGCAGATTGTCCTTCAAGACAAGGTTCATGTAAAATTAATGTACATTTGAAGTATTACTAATGCTCAACTTGGACATTTAAATCTATACAAATATAATTCATTTTAGGATTTGAGGTTTTCACAGCAGTGAGCTTTTCATTTTGTAAAGCCATGTATATTAACAGTACTCTGAAAGTTGTTCGATTGTTCCTAGAATCTTAACACCCTCAATACTGAGCATAACAACCCTGTAACAAATGTCTCTCTAGAATGCAAAATATCTGCAGATATTCAGCTCCTAATGTATACAGTTTTACATAATAGCAGATAGCTGTACAGGTTATACACAAAAGAATGGTGCGGTTTCAAAAGTTAATAAAAGAGTTATAGTGGAACCACGGTTCCGGAGAATTTGACGTAAATACGTCTATACCGTAAGGAGTTTATATAGTGGCTTTATTCTAAATATTTTCTTTATACACGCTTTACAATTGATTAAAGTTTGAGTAAGACAGTACTGCCTACCTTGAATTAGTTACGCTTAAGATGGGTCTGTGGTAGCTGAAATATGTTATAAAATTTGTACATTTAAGAGTATCAACATATCGTGCAAACACCATATCTATTCAACTAACGCAACAATAGATTTCTTAATAATTCTTAAATAAGATAAGTACTTGTGATATTGTAAAACGTTTTTACCAGCACAAAATTATATAGTCTACGACGCACTTCTTCTACAAGCGATATTCACAGCTCAGCTCTTTCCGCAATAACGAAAGCGGACCATTGTTGTCAGTCCATATTTACAAATTGTTGATATTTCCTAGGTAACTGTGTCACTTTTTTGCGGAATGACTCTTCCGTATAGACGTATTTACGTCAAAAATTATTTCTCACCTTACACGTGTACAACATACACCGCCAGCGTCGGCAACTGTCCAAGTTTCTCATACGCTACCAGCAGTTCGCTTCTCATGCTTACTGCGGGGCCAGTTCAAAGATGGCGTTGCAGCAGGAAAAGGCTTTCTGTGTGCTCCGTTTTGAGGTGTCCAGATCTGTGATTACAGTGCAGCGTGAGTTTCGTGTACGGTTTAAAAAAGACGCACCACACAAAAATAACATAAGCAGGTGGTACCGACAGTTTGTAGAAACTGGATGCTTGTGTAAAGGCAAGAGTCCAGGTCGACCTCGTGTGTCTGATGACAACATTGAAAGAGTGCGTGAGGCGTTTCAGCGAAGTCCCGGCAAGTCAGTGGCTAGAGTAGGCAGGGAATTGGGTATGCCAAAAATGACTGTGTGGAAGGTGTTGCGTAAGCGGCTATGTTTTAAACCGTTCCCGTGTAAGGTGAGAAATAAATTTTTTTATTAACTATTGAAACCGCGCCATTCTTTTGTGTATACCCTGTACTTAACCAGTTTGTTCCTCTTTGCCATTGAAGTGCTTTGCTTTGCGTTGGTCAGTTCCTTCTCCAGCCAATGTACGTACATGTTGGATCACTGACTTTGTTAAAAACTTTTTGGATTACTGTTTATTTATCTGTGAGAAAAATAGCATAGTAGAATTCTTGCAGTTTGCTGTTTTTGATGCCCGTCACTAGCAGTCAGCTTTAGTCTCAAAATGTGATGATTTTGAAATGACTCCCAATCATGTATTTCCTAACGAATTTGGCAGACAGAGCAATTTACTTGCAGATTTAGTCTGTCACAACTAAACATTGTGGGATAAAGGGAACACGACTAAACAAATTAGATCACTGAATAAAGTTTAGAGGTGGCTGATGCAATTTTTTGGCAGGATGTGATCCACAGCTATGTAAGACACAGCATAATATGCAAATTAAAAACACTGTTAATTTAGGCATTAAATGTGTTAAGTCTTTTCATTAAACAAGTTTCCCCTGAGCTATTTTGGTGTTTTCCACCATGAAAGTTGTAAAAGACTGGTTCATCAACAGGTTGTGTTTCTTTGTGATAGTGAAGTAGAAACTAACATGAATTCTCCTTGGGATTATAAAGACAATATAGTGGATTTATTGTTCCCTGTAACATGTGGCTGTAATGGCTGTCATGCTCCAAGCTAAGAGATGATTTCATCTTAAAGTAGTGCCAAATAAATTTTAAAACTATTTAAAATGCAGACTTGGCCTAACATGTATAAAGTAAAACTATTTCAAGTAATATTCAAGTGAATATGGTGCATTACCATTCTTTAAACAGACTCATCACAAATGCATACTTAAAATATTGATATTTCTAAGTGTATCTGTTTGTTAAATTAAATAAAGTTGTATAACTGTAATATAATATTTAATTACTACTAATAAGGTTCTGTCCTTACAAAAGGATTGTAGCAATTTTTAAAAGAGTGTCAAAATGTGTAATGTCTTAGTGTAATGAGAATCATGTTGCTTAGAAAATAAACTTGTGTGCATGTGCCTATACCCATTCTGCTTTCACTTACCATTGCTGGTTGTGCCTTATTTTCCCTGAATGAAATTAACATCCTCATTTTCTCCCAAGCTTGCCAAGCTTCAAAAAGTTATGTTCTGTTCAACAGTATTTTCTTTAGCAGGACAGTGGCACTACTTTCAGTTTAAATAAGAAGACTCCACAACAGGATGCTACGAATGCAGATTGCCAGTAACTCTGCCAGATGTTCTTGTCTGTAATTTTGCAGTCCGTGTATGGGTATGATTCCTCATTACGGTGATGAATAACATCAGAACACATATTATCTTACAGTGGTTACCTATAGTTTCAAGGTACTATTTAGGTATCCACATCATTACACTTAATGCACTTGCCTTGTAAAAGAAGGAATTTAACTTGCACTTGTGTATCATATTCTTAAGACAATGGATGACTTAGTGCCTGAAATTTAAATAAATATATTCTCTACTTCTTTTAATCCCATCTGACTTACAGTTTGATGTAATCTCCTATTTGCGGATAACTCGTTCCTATTTCCAACTTCATGTAGGATCCATACACTACAGGTCACAAGCCAACTGAAGTCACTTAATATCTTGAAGACGTCCATCATGTTTTATGAACATTCTGTAATTCTGAAATTAATGCAGCATGACATAGGACACTTGTTGGGATGAAACCTGATGTTATATAGGAAAACCTTTATAAAATATCAGAATTATATGTGGCTTTGTATTCAGGGAAAACAGTTTTGAATGCAAGTTCACTTGCAAATACCAAGGCAGCAGTACCTCCAGAATGGCAGGAACAATTTTAATGCCAGTATTTTTGTGCCTAAGAAATCTTTATTTCTTGGTTAAATTCAATGTCTCCAATTATGGAGTAGTACAGGCAATTTTAAAGGTATCCACTTGTTTCAAACATAAGCAAAATTATAATATAGGAAACTACACTACCGATCTAAAGTACGAACCAAGCAACCTACTGTGAATGACTGCTTTAAATGAAGAAAACTACAAGACAATGTTTACGCTCTACCAAATTATTTGAAAATACTGTTCATATTTTGCATCATGGTACTATATCAAGATGTAAATATGCACAATCTGTATCTGAAATGATCGAATAAACTGTGTAAATTTCTGTAAATGATTGGTATGAATGGAGCATGTACCCACCTGATAGACGACATCTTATCATATATTGACGCTACAGACAGCATGATACTTTGGAACCATATTGCACTTCTAAATATAAGAACTGATACACGTGCAAGGGAGTGTGTGCCTAAATGCATTTTAATTCTGGACAAAAACTAATTATTTTTTTTATGAATTTGTCATTCATAGACAGGGTTTATTTTGTAGCATCCTGTTGTTTGAGTCATTGTGTATGTGGCGATATGTTTTAGGGATCCAAGTTCAATATATGTTACATTAAACATTACTGGAAGGGGGAGAGGGAGCTGCTGAAGATGACTCTCCTAATGTTGGTGATTTCAGTTCCCAAAGCAAGTGGTATGAAACTTCCCATCATGGGTATATGTGCATAGTTTATATTACTGCTGCCACCACCGTTGTGCTCATGTGAAATGTATTTGTTTCTTATATTTTTATTTTTATTATGATCAATTGTGTACTTCTGTTCATTTGGTTGATGTCAGAAATCTTTTATGGTAATGTCAGTATTTTTAAGTCGTAATTTTTTATTTTATTCTCTTTCTCCTTTAGGGGCCATCTGGTCTTGATGGAATGAAGGTACGTTCTTTTCAGTTACTCATCGAATAAAACTACATTTGCATGAAAAGTTATTCTAAACCAAAGTCTCGTGACTGAGAGTAGGCATTTAAAATGTTCATTTAAAGGCAGTGAAAGTAATTTAAAACCAGAATAAAATATAAAATTATATGTTTGTATAGAGTTCCCTGTGCCACTGTTGTGAATGCCATTTGCCTGTCGAGAGTGTGCTTTCCCAGCTCCAAAAATGGTTTATGACTTCTTAGGTAGTCCGATAATGTACTAAATTATTTCTGCAACATGTCTTCTGCTTCCACTAAACCTTCACAAATATTAGCATAATGATTGAAATACATATTGATTTTTGGCAGATTCTAATGAAAATGCTTGCAGTAATCTGTAACTTGACTACTTGGCCTACAAGTTCATTAGTGGTAATATTATTATGTTCACTTCTGAAACTTAGATTTAAAGAATATGGCCTACAGTAGATAATTTGTCAGGCTTATTTTAAAGTCCTACTTTGGCAGGAAAATGTAATATTTGAGGGAATTGGAATAGCTCAGTCAGTACAGTGTGTAGGTTATGGGCTGGGCATCTGATTCCTTACAGAACAAGATTTTTTTTTCTGCTACAGTGTCTAGATTGGCTCTGGGCCTAACCTAGCCACCTGTTCAGTGGGAACTAAGTGGTCAGGGCATGAAGCTGACCACTCACTTCCATCTAGTGCTGAAGTTATGATTACATAGTGTAATTCATCCACTCTCCCATATATCTTCATGGAGTGGAGCTTAATTAATAATCAGGGAAAGCTTTACTAAACTGTATTTGGGATTTTGAGTATGTAATATGTTGTAAATGAAAACTTTCAAAGTCCATGTTTGAAGTACTATAGTACGAGGCTCGTCCACAAAGTAAGTTTCCCTTGGGCCGTTTACAGAAACAAAACACAATTTCATGTAAATATTTATTGCAACAGATACAGCAAGTGTCCAGCTATTTTTCAACATATTCGCCACCGGAATTGAGACATTTGTCATACCGTGGGACCAACTTTTGAATACCTGTGTCGTAGAAGTCTGCCGCCTGGGATTGGAACCACTGTGTGACCACCATCTCCGCCTCTCTGTCATTCTCAAAACGCTGACGCTGACGCTGACCGGACAGGAATTTCTTGAGGTGTAGGAAAAGATGGAAATCACTGGGAGCGAGGTCCGGGCTGTAGGGTGAATGATTAAACACCTCCCAGCTGAACTCCTGCAGGAGACTTGCTGTCCGTCGAGCCGTGTGCGGCTTAGCGTTATCACTGACCGCACTTCACAGTCGGCGGGGGCTGGAATAAGAACCTCCATCTTCAACAGCTGCAACGATGCTACTGTGAGAACGCGGGAGGTGCCGTTAGTGCATGCGCCATGCTACGTCATTGCTCTATCACGTACGCACAGTCGCTTCGCGCAATATAAGGTTTGCTAGCTGTGGGACGAGTGGGAAACTTACTTTGAGGACGCGCCTCGTATCTTATTTGGTTCTATGTTTTGATTTGTAATCCTCATTCATCTACGGTATTTAAATTAAATACCAGTTTAGATAGTATGCCAGATAAATGCTTATCAGTAATCATCCACTCTTAACATTCTATTTGTTTGTCCACAGATTACTTTGTTTTGGTACAGCTTTGCGCAAACTAACTGTGGGAGGCCAATATGTTACCAGTGAAGTAAAATATAATCACATCAGAACCACTGATATTTTGGCACCTTTAAAATAGACAAATATGATGAAATGATTCAACATATCTTTTCATTTTAAATAAACTTACAACACTAAATTTGTTTGAAATATCTTACCAGTCACATGAAAGAGCTTATGTATTAAGTTTATTACAGTTACAATTATTTTAACCACCTGTGCAACAGTTTCAGTTGTTATAATTACAAACAACTAATTTCAAACAAATGACTGGAGAATGCTTGTACATGACTACTGTACCTCACATGATATCATGGACCTTTAAAAATGTGTGTTATCATAATATAATATATTTCAGTCCCTCCATACATCATTTGTGACGCAGGAAACGGCTCTGTTCACATGTCTTGTATTTATGTTATTTTATGCCAGACTTAAATAATAATTTAAACATTTCAAATAATAATGGTATTTACATGGTAGGATTTGAGGTTTTCACAGCAGTTAATCTCAAGATTGCTGTCTTCTGGGTTGTTGAACCGTGTAGTCTGGCAGATGTCCATGCTGCATCCATCATCGCCCTGATGATGGAGGCAGTATGACCTCTGAAACGTTGGTAAACATCGACCAGACTACACAGCGCAACAACCCAGAAGACAGCCATCTTCTTCTACACTGTTTTTGTCACTCTCCCATCAATGCAGTTGCATCTTTAGTGTCAGTAAATCAGTCTATCAGTCAGTTTTATTATATTATGATTTCTTTAAAGTATCCAGAGATTAATTTATTTTGAATTGTAAATAATTACTTTCAGTGTAGTCTAATGACCTATCTCTGATTATGACTTCCATACTGAGCAGTATTATAACAGAATCTCTGAGAGAGTAGTTCTTTCAAATTATATTAATTCCTGGAAACTTTATGTAATTTAGAATTTATTAAATAAAGGTACAGATAGGGATTCTTTAATTTGTCTGAACCAATATTAATACTCCTTTCTGATTATTTTAGGGAACTGATGGAATTCCTGGTACAGAGGTACCCCAGCTTTCATACTCATTACTAATTCTTCCGAGCTTATCTAGTCTCTAGATACTGAATGCTTGCTTTCGTGGCTTCTTCTTCTTGTTAAAAAGAATCTAAAAATATTTCAAACATAAGAAGCGCATGGACTATTGTGTTATGTTTGCATGCATTGAGTAATAAATAATCTATCCTAACCTTTCACATAATTTATTTCTGAACAATATAATGTTTGCATGTATTCAAACATCATATTTATATAAATATAGTAAATAATTGCTTGAGGTTTATGGAAGACATTACTGAATGTTCATACAATGGCTATATTAAACTGCATTTTTAGTAATATCTGATTAAAAACTGCAAAGTAAACACTTCAGAATGTTATGTTGTGTTTCTACATTAAAATATTATTGTTTATTATCTTATAGGGACCGAAAGGTGAAAAAGGAGCGAAAGGAGAAGCTGTAAGTTCTAGTCAGAAACACTGTTTAATAACTTGAACTTGACAGAATTCCCTTTTCTGTTCTTTCAGAGAACACAATACCTTCAGTCACTGTGTATATGTTTGTCTAGGGTCCTACTGGCAGACGAGGAAGGAAGGGTGACAAGGGAGACAAAGGGGATCAGGGAGTACCTGGACTTGATGCACCATGTCCTCTTGGGCCTGATGGCTTACCACTACCAGGCTGTGGTTGGAGACCGCCAAAGGTATGGGCAACAAGTTGTTCCTACAGCTCTTAGGACAAAGGACGGTATTCTAAAACAAATATCTACTTGAATAAAAATTTACTTGGATATTATCCATCGTCTAGTAATAAAACGTAAAAAACGTAAAACGACGTTTCGGAGATGGGGCTCTATCTCCGTCTTCAGGTTCCTACTCAGTTGGGCCCACTAGATAGAGCTAATCCCTATCTCCGGACAAATTAAAAAAGTGAAAGTCCCAGGAGATGTGGGCCCAACTGAGTAGGAACCTGAAGACGGAGATAGAGCCCCATCTCCGAAACGTCGTTTTACGTTTTCTACGTTTTATTACTAGACGATGGATAATATCCAAGTAAATTTTTATTCAATTGACTCTTCACCATCGTCAAGAAGTTTTAGATTTGAAATATCTACTTGGCTAAAGTGGTCACTGCATATAAACACCCGTGGCCCCATGACATTTTATGCAAAAACAATCTCAAAACACTTTAATTAAAAGGAAAATTATCAATTCTAAGTTTTTCAGTAGTTTTGGTTGAAACTACGAAACTGCGCACATGCAGTATTCTGCTTGTGTCAGATCATGTAAACTACTAACGTGATATAACAGGAATTTCTTATGTAGTACGGAATCATATCCACTTTCATCGTTAGATTCTCTGTACATGTCAGGATAACTGTCTGAACACAATGGGTATAATAACACTTTTTGTTGCAGAACACAACGATCCCTTAAATGAGTGCCGTCTGTTGATAAAGACTTTGTTAAAATGTAGCTAAAAATGTTAGAATGTGCGGCAGTCATTATATTTATGATGTGTGAAACAGGAAAGCAAGAAAAGGGAATACCTGAAGGGCAAAATTGTTGGCCTAGCGACAAATAATAAGTTAAAAAACATCAGAGACCTGTACAGAGGCATTAATGATTTTAAGGAAGGATGTCAACCTCAGATGATAAAGGATGATAGTGGCAATTTGCGTGCAGATCCAATAAGAATTGTGAATAGATAGAAAAATTTCTTTAGCGAGCTCTTAAATGTTCATGATACTGGTGATATTAGACAGATTAAAATACATACAGCTGGACCGTTAGTGCCAGAACCTAGTTTAGATGAAGTTGAACTAGCGATTGGGAAGTTGAAAAGTTATAAATCTCCAGGAATTGATCAGATTCCGGCCGAATTAATTAAAGCAGGTGGCAAGGGTTGCATATGAGGATCCATAAGCTTATTCAGTTAATTTGGGATAAGGAAGAGATGCCACAACAAAGGAAGGAATCCATAATTATTCCTATTCATAAGAAGGGGGACAAGAC